GCAGCAGATCATGATCGGATCTACTGGCACAATGTTGGCATACTGCTGGCATTTTTCTATCTGGGATTGTATTAAAAATTTGCTATATGTATGACAGATGTGTGGACACTTCATAATCACTCCGCAGCTGATGTCTCGAGCGAAAAGGAGGATGGCAGTAATGCATCCTCTTCCACGTATCTTTGAAATCAGTACGGAATTCGACACCGACCCACGAGCAGCTTACTTCCGACAAGCAGAAAATGGTGTTTATGTGCGCATGGCATTACTAGCTATGGTTCTTGGACGCATTTAATCGGATCGTGGCCATTCGTCTCTGGATCAAGGTATTTATTGAAGGAGGTCAATCACGCATGCCAAGGAAAACATATTCTCGCCATTTCTATCAGACTGTGATGTGATTCGCAAGAGTCAAATCGAATACTTTCCTGACATTCCAAAATTAACCGCGACGAGTATAGTGATCAGATTTATAAAAAAAAGTACAAACAAAGTATAAAAAAAATATTACGGAGATACTTTTAATAGACTATAGACTAAAATTTCTTTTGTTTTCCGACAAACTTTTCTCGAAACTTTCCACTACTTAATTTTTTTAACTTTTAGAGATTTTTATTAAAGTACCATTTCATATGTGAATTTTAATGAAGTTTTAAAGAAAAATTTATATTGCAATAGAATTTTTTGACAGTTATTTTTAAAATAATTTATTTACTTTTAATATAAAGTTTTAATTTTTGTGGTATATAAATTTTAAATACTCGAGATATCGCAGATGAGAAATGTCCAAATTTAATTCCGAAAAGCAATTAATTATTTTGTATTTATACATTATTTTTTAATTCTACTAATATTAATAATAAATTTTAATTTTTTGTACTGATGATCAAATAATTTACACATATTTTAACGCCTATGTAACGCATAATATTTATATAAACATATATAAATGTTTATTTATAACAAATTTAAAACAAAATTTCTAATTTTTAATGTTTGTAAAGTTGATTTATTTATAATTTTGTAAAAAAATGTGCAAATATTTGTATTAAATCTTTTCAGTATTATCGCTATACTAATTGCGATTATATTACAAAGTAATTATTGCAAAAATTTTTTTGAAAAATCTTTTGACAGTACAATTTTATTTAGTTCTGTACATGTAACAATTAATTTAGATCTAATGTTTCTGAGAAATATTTGTGTGTACTCTCTAAAAACTATTTTGGTTTTATTGTGAATTGTTATAGACTATAAAAAAGTTTCCTTTTGTATCTAAAGAAGAGCTCAGAATGATGACATAAAACTGAAATTTTGTGAAACTTTTATGAACGTTTTTAGACGTTTTTAGATCAGAAATGGGATAAAAATACATTTCATAATTTGAGAATTTAAAAAGATTTATTTTTTAGATTCTATATGTTATCTGGAAAGATATGAAGACGAATGATAACAGAAATTGAAGTGTATATTTGTGCTGTACAATATGATGCGGACTGATGACAGAAATTGAATAAAATATGTCGAACAGGCTTACGCGATTTTTTATGACAATCTGTTTCTGTTATATCAGCAGATTCTGTTAGTAAAATATGAGCTTAATATGGATACGGATGATACCGAACTTGTTGTAATTTTGAGCGAGTATGGAAATGCGAGTATACAAATTTGTTGATATTGCGGACAATTTGCTTAATAGATACGAAGTATATTACATTATCTTGTAATTGATTAGATTTTTATATTACAAATATTACGATTTTGTAAATC